ATGTCCGCATGCAGCCCATTTTTTGTGACCACGCAGACTGTACATGTTCCAATCTCTTGTTCGACACTTCAGTCCACTCCAAAACACTACGGTAAAGCCAGCCCCAACTGCCTCATCACAGTTGTTGGATGTTTGACAGACATTCACTCCAGACCCAGCAGCATCTTCTTGGTTTCCCTTTCACCTAATGTCAGCAGCGGACCCTCAAATGTACTATCAACAGAGCCAAGTGTGCATCTGCGTGACTACGGCTGTCTAGGGATGTTCAACACTGAAAGTATGTCCAAGCCTTACCCAGTTGGGGCCCTAATGCCAAAGATGTCATACAAACTACTGAATAAGTTGCACTGGTGCTTCGTCCTCACTTATACATATATATATATATATATATATATCTATACTTGTTACTTTAAGGTATCAAACAAAATAACTCAAAGCCAAGTTGAATCCAAACTTCTCCAGCCAAACGATACCTGTATTTGATCCTTTTTGTACACTAGTCTGTGGTCTCGTGAAATCAAGTGCAGTACATTTGATGGAATTGGCAGTTCAGCGCCACCAATATGTTCAAATGTACGACCGTACAACATGCCTATGGTATCTAGAGGTATTTTATGCAATTGAATGCTCGCCTTTACATAATGGGTATCGAATAAAGTAAGAAAAAGGTATCATATCAGTATCACTGTAAGGGAACTGGTAACAGTACTGGTATCGTGATTTTTAAACAATACTCAGCCCTACTACAGAGACACAATACCAGACTGCATGCATATGGAGACACTCCATCTTCTTCTTCAACATACTGACAATACATCTTCACACCTTGTCAAGGGCACACTTCTCCTTTTCCTGCCAGCTGGGACAAACTGGCAAAAGCTGCATATTCCTTCAGCCGTAGGTGTGAAGCCAGCAAACATTAAAAAACATGCATGTGTGATAATTCATTTCCACAACTTTATACACTAGGGACAGAAAGTGGTTTGCTGCCTTACAGTTTTCACTTAAATAAGCCTTACAGGTTACGTTCAGTGGGAATATGCAATGCCCTCCATCCCCAGGGCCTCGCCTACAGCCCTACAGAGAATACAATCCAGGCTGAAGCACAGACCGATGGCAGCAGCTCTCCACATTCCACTTATAGTTGTATAGTTTATCTTTCCAAAGACAGAAAAACCCCACAGTATTACATTTTATAAGCTGTAGTATTGTATCGTGGTATTTAGGTGAAGCAATGTAGTTGTCAAGGCTACTGCTTTTCAAAACAAAAAATAAAATCTTATCCCTGCAGTCAAAGTGAGGTTTTTATTTCTGGAGTCAATTCTGCATTCCTTTTCAAACTGCGCACAGTGCTTACTGATGAACTACAGTCACTTTAAATTGAACAAGTTGATCTCTCGATGGCTTTTATGTATAAAATATCAACTCTATTAGTGACGACCTTTTTCACAGCAGACATTTTGACCTGTCGTGGCAGGAAAAGCACAGGTGTGGTAAAAAAATTGATGGCTGCACTCCATTATCAACCTGTACTTTATCTGCTTCGATAACACATCATAAGACTCCATATTACCATCAATGCACTGGGCTATTCCGAACAAATGAATACCTGCAGTGTCCTGGCATGAAAGGTATAGTACTGCTACTACTGCTATACTTTCCACTTCAGAAAGTATAACTGAATGTACAGGCAGTCCGATGATGCATTTAAATGCATAGAGGTTTCACAACACCTGCATGAAACAGCCATATTTCTTCTTTAATTTGTTCCATATAGTTTTAAGGAAGCACTTACACACACTACATGCCTGAATCCCCACTACGGAATCTCTAATACCCCTGCAGGATGTCATTACCTCACAGCATTAAACAAGCTCTCAGGTATTAGTGCCTGTGACCTGCCTGTGTTCTCCTCCTGACCTCACATCCAACTCTCTATTATCCGATGGTGTAGAGGCGACTACGATAAGACACCACCTGCAGCCTTGACTCAGCTTTACAACCCGATGAGTCAATGATGAACAGAGGAAAGGCTTATCAGAGAAAGAGTCATGCTGCTTACTGTAGAATGACAATGATATGAAATGCAAATTACAAATTTATGGCTGAACCAATCCCACATTTTCTCTCCTGGTACAAAAAGTTAAACACAGGTTTTTGACTAATACTGAGTGCTGAATTCAGGGTTGGAAACTAGCACTAGCCACTAGCCCAAGGCTGGTGCTAGATTTTCTTTATTCACCTGCCCAAAAAACAATGGTAATCTAATGAGTGTCTGGTCAATTAAAGTTTATTCCAACCCCGGTGCTTTTCTTTTTCTCTTTTATGTTACCTTACACACTATCCTATGTATAAGGCATCATGAGGCTGTAACTATGTGTAACTTCCTTAATCACATTAGGTCAACAGTCATATCTGGCCAATACCCAGTCCCTGTCAAAATTGTATTGACAATTTCATAACAACATTTTATAGTTACATTTTTATAACAACAGTGACAAAGACTGGATGTGGATTGGTCGCATCTGGCCACTACCTGATCCCTGTAATAAGGTCACATTAGGCACCAAAACCAATCTAGAATGTGGGATCAGTGCATCACAACAGACTTCTTACTTTGTTTAACCAGCAACCAAAAAACCTTAGATATACATTTTAAAATGAGAAAGGAATAAAATTAAGCACCTCCTCATGCACGGTGGTGCCAACTTGCAGTGCTGCCATGGTGCCAGCACTGCTTGCATTCAATTTAATGCAATCAGACAGGCCAGAGTGATTAACCTTACTTTTAGGCAAATGTCAGTATTAAACACATTTCTATTATAATAAAACTTCACTGTCAAGTATTATCGTCGACTGGGAATTTGCCAGTTGGCTACTGTAGCAACAACTAGTGACATTGCTGGCATAGTAGAAGAGAAATGTGAGAGCATATCTGTCCATCTTCCTGTTGCTGGTATATACATTGCATTCACACGTGCATTGCACCGTCACATGCCTGACAGTGTCAGTGTAAAGAAATAAAGCAGAATAGCAATCAGATTACATGCAAGTGTGGAGTCTAAAAAAAGTTTGGCAGTGCACACACGGTGTTACAAATGGGGGGAGTAGCTTGGCCGCGAAGAGACGTTGAAATGTCACTACCGCGCTGAATGACGGTACCAGTGCGTTTAGATACATTAAGGGCAGGCTGTCTTCACCATAAAGACGACACTTGTCAAAATAAAATAAACAGCACCGCTGCTTTGCTGTGTTGTTTTTT